CCAGGATTCACCATCCAAATTTTCACGATTTCACATCAGGTCTATACGGGACACAGAAGTCTACCCCCAAAAAGTTGAGATATCTAGTAAGTTTCTGGTCAATCTTCATGTTCTCAGCCTCTAACTGACAACATTTACTCCAGAAATTACCACTCAAAGTTTTTACATGCTGGGCTCGGCCCTTCACATTCAACTTCCCATTCTGTGATGGGTAGAAAAAGTGCATCCTGAAAAAAACAAGTTTCTCTGTCAGTTTGTGTTCGATGTTTACATTCTTGGTCTTAAACTGATGGAATTCCCTCCAGAAATTGTTCCCCAAAGTTACAAGATGCTAGGGCTCACCGCTCACATTCAACAATCAAGTATGTTGGGAGGGTAGAAGTCGACATTCAGAGAATCAAGCTACTCCATGAGTTCCTGCTTCTTTTTCATGTTTTCACTTGCTAACTAATGGAATTCACTCTAGGAATCATTACCCAAATTTATGAGATGTTAGGCACCACTGTTTTCATTTGACGCTCAAATATGTGGGGGAGTTGAAGCCCATACTCAGAAAATTGAGCTACTCAGTGAGTTCATGCTTGATTTCTACATTCTTAGCCTCCATCTGACTGTATTTGCCCTAGGAACCATCACATGAATTTGCAAGACATTGTGCATTGTCGCTCACATATAACGTTCAATTATCTGGGAGACAGAAGTCTATACACAGAAAACTGAAGTACTCTATGAGTTCCTCTTCAATTTTTATGTTTGTAGCCTCGAACTGATGGGACTTTCTCCAGAAATCACTGCACAAAGTTGTGAGATGCTGGGCCTCGCTGTTCACATTTGGTGTTCAAATATGTGGTGGAGTGGGGTCCACACTCAGAAAACCAAAATACTCTGTGAGTTCCTGCTTGTTTTTTACATTCTTGGCCTCTAACTGATGGCATTTACTTGAGGAATTATTACCCAGATTTATGAGATATTTTGTGCTGTCATTTCCATTTGGCATACAGATACGTGGGGGGTTGAAGTCCACACTCAAAAAGTCGAGCTACTCTGTGAGTTCTTGCTCAATCTTTGCATCCTTGGTCTCTAACTGACTGTATTTGCTTAAGAAACTGTCACCCGGATTTACGAGACATTAGGCATCATAGCTCATGTACAACATTCAATTATCTGGGGGACAGATGTCTCTACACAGAAAATTGAAGTACTCTGTGAGTTTCTGCTGTATTTTTATGTTTGTAGCCTCGAACTGATGGAACTCCCTCCAGAAATTGCTACCTGAAGTTGCGAGATGCTGGGCCTCACTGTTCACATTTGGCATTCAAGTATGTGGGGGGGTATCTGTGGTTCCAATAAAGTCTGATCACAATGTAACATCGAGTAGTCTTGATTGGCACTTTCATTTAGAAACAACCTGGCCTTATGCTGGTGTGATGAAAACTCTCAATTAAATTGGCAACAAAATTTTATGGCAAGGAAGGTGGTAGGATTGTTCCAAAATATCTGGGATGGAAATGAAAAATTAGGAAAGTACAGCACTTGCAGGAATTGAACTCACAGCTTCAGGAATTGGGCACACCACACTTTTTTTTTTTCGAGTCAAATTTAGCGTCTATTAGGGTGAGGCCCTATGTCAGACTTTACAACTTTTGTAGACTACCTATGGACCACCAACAGACAACGACATGCACTGACGGCCCACCACACCCACCACCACCCACAAACAGCCACGACAGCCCACCGACCCATGACAACACAACACGATGATGTGTCAATGACACGCGACGCAGACGGCATGACGACATGACGACGACGACACGACAATGTGTCAACGACATGCGACATGGACGACACAACGACAAAGGGGGAGAACAGCCAACAACGCCCACCAGCACCCATAAACAGTGACAACGGCCCACGTGGTGATGCAACAACAATGAC